GAATATCTCATTACATAAATTACGGTATTTTTCCTCTTTGATGAAAAACTAATAAACAAATTTACAAATTATAGATCATCTGACTACAGTTTCAATCTAATCTATAATCTATTGTTGTATAACTATCATGAAAAATTTGAATTAAGGAACAGTTTTGCGTCTATTCGATAATGTTTTTCTTTATTCTCTTCTGGTAATCCCAAATTTATGATACCAACAATATTTAGGTAGAAAGTATTCAAAGCCTATTAAAAAATGAGAGGAAACTGAGGATTCAATTGATATTCATGGTTTATTTTTATTAGAATTCATTAAATTAACTTGATGTAGATGACATCAATTTTGTGTTTCAAAATCTAATTCATATCTAAATAAAACTTTTATTTAGTATGATAAATGTACTTAACCCAACATCCTATTCTCTAATTTGAATTTTTTTGAATAATTAAAGTTTATTTCAACAAATATTGATAATTATGGCAAGTTTATGAATTAAATTCACCTTTTAAATACGTATCGATCTTATCAAATTCTATTAAGTTAATAGAATTAACTCAACTTTTAAATTTAGAAAAGCCTTATGGTGTTTATAATTTATTATGTCAATCATATTATTAGGAAATATTGGTACAGGCAAAACAACACTATATAATAAAATTACTTCATCCTAAGAAAAAACCTATTTAGGTGGAACAGCAGACACTAAGAGTGTTTTTATAAAAAACTCAAGATTTGGTTCAGGATTTTTAGTATTAGATACTCCAGGTTTCGGAAATAGTGAAAATAAACTAGATCATATTGCTGGTGTGCTTTCTGCTTTATCTGAAGGACCAATTAACCGAATTTTTATACTCCTTAGATTTTAGAGAACTGATTGGATAAAAAGCAATGTTAAAACTATACTTCCTGCATTTATGAATTATATCAACATGATCACAGTAATTATCACATTTTGGGATTATTGTGAGGAAAATAAAGAAGCATATAATAAAAAGGAAATTCAATAAATGCTTACTTAGTTACAAATTAATTCTGTGATGTTTGTTGGGAGGAAGGACACCCCAGAAAGTATGTGTTAATAAATTGATCAAATCATCTCAAAATCGAAGGCATAAAATGTTAATCTTACCGAAAATGAAATCTTCTAGAATTTTGATATGACAGATTAGGATGAAATGGAATTTTTTGAAATTCAGCATATTGTTGAAGAATTCTAATCATATTATATTGAATTTGCTCGAAATATGTAATAATTAATTAATTAGAAAAGTATTTCAAAGGAATTATAGACAGATTTTATCTACTCTATAACTTAGCTTGCAAAACAAATGCTAGAATAGACTATGAATACATTTGAGAAAAGGATATTAAAATTAATAGATAATTAAAGTGAAGTTAATTAACTTAAGTCTTTCAAAATTCATTCCGAGCTTAAGAATAGATTGTTTGAAAGATATTAATAAATTGTTGATCAGGTCCATCGGAAATATTATAAAGGAAAGCATTTCTCTAATTATATAAAAAAATGCTATTATTGTGGTCAAATTTGGTTCTAAGTAACTGGTTGTGAAGGCTAGACAGTTTGTGGACGCCTTAATGAAAATCCTTAGGATGAATTCATCCAATAGGAAGCAGCTCCTCAATAATATATTATAACTTACGAGAAGGGCAGTTTGGAATATAAGCCTAATGAATCTGTAAAGCCAAAAGCTGTGGTTTTAAATGAAAGAAATAAACGAAATTTAATGTCGAATCCAAGTTATATTCAAAAAATGACTTTGGGTGATGAAACATTCAATGTAGGGATTGGGTGTAGAAGAGTAATAGATTGGGGGAAAATGCTTCCATTGTCCAAATAAGAAATGGATGAGCTTTTAAGTTATTTAGATGATAAATTGCGTGATGAAATGATTGAAGCAGAAAAAAGGATAACATAAAAAAAAAAAATGGTTTATAAAAATTAACTAGAGATGAAAAAAATAGAATAAAAATAAAAAACTAAAAGAGCATGATATTAAAAATAAATAGATTATATTTATAACTTATTTCAGATGTCTATAATTATCATTTATCAAAAGCGTTGTTATTATATATAGTTTAATTAAATAAGAAAGTCAGGATTAAGTTATCGATAATTTATTATATTAAATTGAAATTTTATAAAATATCGAAGTAGTATATAAATATTAAATGTTGGATTTGGAAGTCTACAATTAATTAAATTGTCTCAATTAAACGAGTTAAAATATTCTTTTTCATTTAATTTTCGTAATTAGTAAAAATTAGCATAGGAAGAAGGCCATTAAAATCATTAAATTTATAGAAATTTTATTTATAAATCTCTAAATTTGTAAATTAGTTATAATAAAAATATGGTTACATATAGA